CCTCAGCTGCCCGGACTCGCTTTGCGACCGGGGGTCCTCAGCGCACCTGGACTTTGTCAATCAGGCGGGCCTCCAAGGCTGGCTCCCAACAAAGGAGTCCACTATGCATCCTTCTCAGTGCATGGAATGATGAATCTCATCCTGTCTCTGCTCTGCCCTGGGAAGAAGCTTGCCATTGCATTGTCAGCATGAAGTCAATAGACTAGAGTTAGGAGCTAGACCTGGATCACAGACCAAAGTCATGACTGGCATGTCCTTGTTTAGGGAGGCCAGCAAAGAACTTACGAATGTTCTGTGGGATCCCAGATGTCTGGGTCCTGCTGCCTCTCTGCGGGGCCTGGCAGAGCCCAATGCTAGGACAGCCATTCATTCACAGAGAGGGTGTTCTGTGCCTCTGCCTCCAGGCTGAACCTTTCCTAGGAGAAAGGAGTTTTGGGACCCTGAGATTTTTTATTTTCTTTATACTATTAATCCCCCAGGCTTTTTTGTTTGTTTGTTTATTTTTAACAACATGTCCATTTCAAAGTTTAGTTTGGTTAAGTGGCACTTAGCACCAGTGACTCCACTCTGGGCAGTGGGGGCTAGCACAAGAGCCCAGTCCAAACCAGTGGCAGCCCAGATGTTCTGTTTAACGTGCCCGGGAGGCATATTCCTGAAGAGACATTCTGAACCCCTTCTCAGCAAGGGTGCATAGGTGTTGGGATATGTGAAGTTGCTGTTGGGGCTCAGAGGGTTACCCCACAGTGGCAGGACAGACACTCTGTCGAAGCCCCAGGCCCCCAACTAATCCTCTGAACCCTGCCGGGGGTTGCTGATTTTCCGTGGGTTGCCTGTGTCCCTGGGCACAGCTGCTGGCTCACCACACTGGGATGCCCCCTACTGCAGGACAAGGTACAGAAGCGGAGAGAGCGCATTGTAGTGGAGTTTGAGAAGACGACCCTCTTCCTGATGGAGGAAGAACAGAGGCTCCTCCAGGCCCTGAAGGAGGAAGAGAAGGAGACGACCACTCAGCTTCAGGAAAGTAAGGCTTCAATGGAGCAGCAGAGCCATGCACTGAAGAGGCTGCTGTTGCAGCTGGAGGACCAGAGCCAGCAGGAGCCCCTACACATGCTGCAGGTGAGGGGCCCTACAAATGGGGTGGGTGGGGAAGGTAAGGGACCCACAGATGGGGTGGGTGAGGGGGCCCACAGATGGGGCGGACGGGGGGTCCTGCAGATGGAGCAGGTGGGGCTGGCAGGTCCTCTGGAAATAAACCTGTTTACATTGTCATGGCCTGAAGGTATGAGCTCAGGCAAGGTATTCAAGGGGGATGGACTTGGGGAATAGGTGCAGGCAAACAGGGAAGGCTCTGTCTCAGCTCCAGCTGCCATAACAAAGTCCAGCACACCAGTCAGCTTAAACCACAGATGTTGATCTTTCTGTCCTGGAGGCTGGGGTCCAAGTTCATGGTGTACAGGGCTTGCTCCTGCCTAGACCTCTTTCCTGGGCATGCAGATGCCATCTCTTCCCTGTGTCCTCACATGGCGTTCCTCTGTGTGTGTCTGTGTCTTCATCCCTTCTTATAAAGACACCAATCAGACTGGATTAGGGCCACCCCAGTGACCTCACTTAACCCTGATTCTCTCTTTAAACACCCATCTCCAAACAGTCACACTTTGAGGTCCTAAGGATTAGGGTTTCACATTCGGACTTAGGGGGACATAGTCAGCCCAAACAGGCTAAAGCCCAAGAGACTGTGTTCTCCATCACTTTCAAGTCCATGGAGGTGTCCCAGAGTGCTTGACACCCAGGTAGGGATTTGGGACAGGGTTGCACCATCATGGTGTGGGAGGCACACCCACTCCTGTGGGCCCAGAGATGTATTTGTGGCAAGAACGAGTCCCACAGTGGCCCCTGATCACAATGGCAGTGAGGAGATGGTGCAGCTGGCCTATCAGGAATGGGCCAGCAAGCGTGGCCTTGGAGGGGGAAAATGTGGGCCAATGTGTGGATTACAGGCTCACTGAAGTCAAGGGAGCGATTGAAATTTGAAAAAAAACGTGTCTCACCCTACATCATACACACACACGGCACATTCACACAACCGAAGCAAGTTTCCTGTGTGGGATGCACCCTAGTCTATGCCCGTTGTCCTGCCACCCCAGGAGTTTTGTCCTGGATAGATTCACTAGTCTCCCTAATTTGGGGTAACAGTTTATTTTCAGTTAAAAAGCAACCTTTTAGGTTAGGTGCAGTAGCTCATGCCTGTAGTCCCAGCACCTTGGGAGGCCAAGGCAAGAAGAGCCCTTGAGCCCAGGAGGTCAAGTCTGCAGTGAACTATGATCAGACTACTACACTCCAGCCTGGGCCACAGAGCAAGACCCTGTCTCTAAACAAAATTTTAAAAGCCCTCTGTTCACAACTCACTATGTTGGTTTCCTAACCCGCTGAAGGAAAGAGCCCCATTTGGTCCTTGATGCTTGTTGATGGGTGGACAGTGCCCTGGTGAACAGGGCCTGAGTGAGTCATCTGCATGAGATCCCCATGACAAGTTAGGATGATAGCCAGAAACTAGAGACATGGCCGTTGGAAAACAGACATGTCCTGTGGCTTAAAGGTCAGAGAGGTCAACAGCAGAGCCTCTCTGGTCTTCCTTGGGAACTGTAGGGTCCCAAAGAGGTTACAAAAATCCTCAGGCAGTGGTCCCCCACCCCCATCCCCACCTCCAACTTCGCCCAACTGCACTCATGCCTGTTTCTCCACATCACAGCTCTGGTAACCAAGGTGGGTTGCACCCATGTGAGATGGGAGAGGCCAATCTGTATGAACTGCTCACCTGCCTGGCAGGGAGCAGAAGTGCCCTTCAGCCCTGCCCCCATCTTACCAGTCTCTGATCAGTCACACCTGACCACAGACTGAGAGTGTGGTCCAGGCTTAGGCTCTGTGTAAGGGGGTCAAGTGGGGATGGGACTCCAGGCAGGTGAGGCTGGGAGCCACCTGGGAGGAGGGAGCTCATGTCCTGGGAAGGAAGTGCCTTGGGAGAGGACAAGGAGGCAGCACTGAGAGCACCACCATGATGGGGCAGGTGAGGGAAGCCCAGAACTTGGCCCATCCCCGCCCTCCCTCCTGTCTTCTACAGGACATGAAGGACTCCCTGGGCAGGTACGTGGTCCTCTGACCTGGAGAGGGCAGCAGGTGATGGGGGCTCTGTGTGGGGCCAGAGGGGACCATGAAACTGTGTCCTCTGGAGGAAGAACAGCCTTCGTGTGCAACACCCAGAGGCCACCCCTCCCACAGAACTCAGGACGGTGTGCAGGGTGCCTGGGCAGATAGAGGTACTCAAAGGCTTTCAAGGTGAGTGGGGCCCAGGGCGGGACCCTCACCCCAGATTCTCTCAGCACCATCCCACCCCACCCCTAGCTCCAGAAGCCACATGGTGGGGCATGGCCACCAATGTGGGAGAGTCTCAGGATGGACTGCTTGATACTAGGTTTCTATTGGACGTCCACTCTGTGCCCTTGAAAGGTAGCTTTGCTGATGCATCTATTGGTGGGATACAGCTCGTTAATCTCTCACACAGCCCCTCCCCTGGGCCTGTTTCCTCTTCACCACCAATACCCACAAACAGTTGGGAGGCCTCAGGTAACCCAGATTCATAGCTGGGCTCAGTGCAGGGGAGCCCTCTGGGAGCTTGGGGACCATATTGATTTGGCCTCAGTCACCCGCAGCTCTGGCCCTCCCAGCCTTGACCCTGAGCAGCCCCTACACCTCCCTGTGCCCTGGCCTATCTGCAGAGGACGTGGTACCTGACCCCAACTCCGCATACCCCTACCTACTGCTGTACGACAGCCGCCAGAGGCACTACCTCAGTTCCCCACCGGAGGACAGCGCATTCCATAACAAGGACAGATTTGTGGCCTACCCCTGTGCTGTGGGCCAAACAACCTTCTCCTCAGGGAGGCACTACTGGGAGGTGGGCATGAACCTCACTGGGGATGCACTATGGGCCCTGGGTGTGTGCAGGGACACTGTGAGCCGGAAGGACCGCGTCCCCAAGTCCCCTGAAAATGGCTTCTGGGTGGTACAACTGTCCAAGGGAACCAAGTACCTGCCTGTGATGTCTGTCCCCACCCCAGTCACACTGACTGAGCCGCCCAGCCATGTGGGCATCTTCCTGGATTTTGAGGCAGGCGAGGTATCCTTCTACAGTGTAAACGATGGGTCTCACCTGCACACCTACTCCCAGGCCACCTTCCTGGGCCCCCTGCAGCCTTTCTTCTGCCTGGGGGCTCCCAAGTCAGGCCAGATGGTCACCTCCACAGTAACCATGTGGGTGAAGGGATAGAGACACAGGTGGGGGTGCTGGCCCTCCTAATGTCTGCAGAAGGGAGGTTCTTCCACCAGGCTTCTTGGGTCACACTGACAGCACAGGCCATCCAGAGTGGGTCTCGAAGTTTAATATAAGAGCGATTAAAGCCAGCAAACACTCAGAAGCTATGTTGACAGCTGCTTCTTCAAGGAAACTTCAATGGCCCCTGTGCTGGGTAATTTCTAAATACATACCTGCATACCAGACACAGTGTGGTCAGGTTTTCTTAAGCCGTGCCCATCCCTACCCCACCTTGGAATGCCATTGACTCTGCAGGTTTATATGAAATATGGTTCCAGGCGTCCCACGAAAATGTCCTGTGCATCCCTCCTCCAGCTGTTGAGTCCCTCACCAGGGGAAATGGGAAGGCCTGAACCCCTAAAAAGCTTCAGAGTTGCCCACCCAAACCCCATCACCCCCCAAAATTGACACACAATGGCAACATGCAAAAGAGATAAGGATCAATTGAGGTCTCCTTTCTTCTTCCTGCAGCACTCTTCCCTTTTCTGAGCAAGTCCCACCCCTGCAGGGTCAGGCACATAAACAGCCTGTAACAGCCATTAGCACCCAGGATTCTGGAGTCCAAGTACCCCCACCCCACAGGCCAGAGTCGCCTACCAGAGAGAACCTGGAGCAGTGTGCAGCAATGGAGAGATCTAGTCCTGCTTGAGAACCCAGCTCCAGTCATTCTGACCTTGGCCTGCCTGGGTGGGTGTGCCAGGCTGGCCTATTGGAGGATATCCGCCCTGAGGCACATGGGTGAGGACCAGGAGGGTGTGGACGCACCGGGGAATTGGGGCTCCATGCCCCTGGCTTCAGGTTCCCTTCGTTCTCGTGGTGTCTCCCCTTCGCTCCACCCCCTCCGCTCTTCCCTCCCGGGCACCAGCCCCTGAGCCCCGTGGCTTCTCTGTTCCCCGCCCCCTGAGCAACACTTCGCGCCACATCCCACTTGAGCCCCGCCCCCTGAGCACCTTCCCTCGATGCGCGCCCCTGCGCCACATTCCCTCCTGAGCTCTGCCCCCTGCACCCTCCTTTCTCATGCGCCCCGCCCCCTGAGCAACATCCTTCTGACCCCCGCCCTCGGTTCTCAGTCCCTCCCCCAGCCCCGCCCCCTGAGCCTTTCCTTTCCCAGGACCTAGTAGAGACCGAATTGCGCGACCCCGAGCCAGCAGTGCGCGAGCAGCGACGGGCACGCCAGGTCCGCGGGTGAACCCGTGGGCCGTGTGATACACCGCGGCCAATCGGAGGCAAAGCGGGTTGTTCCAAAAAAAAAAAAAAAAAAACCCAGTCGCTTCCTGCTTCCGCCTCGGCGCCGCTTCCTGTCCGTGTCCCGAGCCGAGTCCCAGAGGGCCGGAGCTCACGAGTCTAGCGCCGCCGACCCGGGAGTCCTGCACTCCGGATTCTCCGAGCCCTGAGCCTTGCGTCCCAGAAGTCCCGGCACCTCAGAACTCTGGGCCTCGTGTCTTCGGAATTTCTGCAACCCCGCGTCCCCGCACGCCCCCACTTTCGGCGGCGGCGAAACCGCCCGCAGACAGTGCTGCCCTCCCCGCCCGACCCGCCATGGCCGCCCCCGACCTGTCCACCAACCTGCAGGAGGAGGCCACCTGCGCCATTTGTCTGGACTACTTCACGGACCCGGTGATGACTGACTGCGGCCACAACTTCTGCCGCGAGTGCATCCGGCGCTGCTGGGGCCAGCCCGAGGGCCCGTACGCCTGCCCCGAGTGCCGCGAACTGTCCCCGCAGCGGAACCTGCGGCCCAACCGCCCGCTGGCCAAGATGGCCGAGATGGCGCGCCGCCTGCACCCGCCGTCTCCTGTCCCGCAGGGCGTGTGCGCGGTGCACCGCGAGCCGTTGGCCGCCTTCTGCGGGGACGAGCTGCGCCTTCTGTGCGCCGCCTGCGAGCGCTCTGGGGAGCACTGGGCGCACCGCGTGCGGCCGCTGCAGGACGCGGCCGACGACCTGAAGGTGCGCCTGGCGGGACGTGCAGGGCTGTCCCGGAGCCAGGGTTGGGGCGCAGTTGGGCCCGGGCCGGGGGGCGGGGCGAAGGCCCTTGGGGACTGAGGAGCTCGGGGAGGAGCCTATCTCTGGCGTAAGGAGAGGAACGGGGGGTTGGGTGCAGCTGCGCAGGAGGCGGGGCGAAGGGTCTCCAGGGGGCGAAGGAGTTCGGAGTGGAGCGTACCTCGGGCTTAGGCTCGGGGAGCGCTTGGGATGCAGCCTGTTCCTGGCTTGGACGGGGAAGGGTGCGTGGGGGGGGGGCTGGAAGTTTGGCTCGGGGCTTAGTCTGTCTCAGGCCAGGACAGGAGCTCAGGTGCAGCCCGCCCCAGGCCTGTGGGGGGCATAGCGCGCAGGGTCACTGGAGGGCTCAGGACAGGGCCTGACTCCATCAGGCCCCTTGTGGAGCTTGGATTATGTGCATCTATGGGGTTCCTGCCTGGGGATTTGCGAGGGGTGGGCAAGCGTGCCTCCCATGGGTGGAGGATGAGAGGTGAAGGTCTGGGGCGAGAGCAGGGCAGATGTGGCAACCCACTGTCTAGGAGGAAGTCCAGATCAGGAAAGTGGAGTGAGGACCCGAGGTCCTGTGGGGACTGTGAGCCATGGAAGGGTGTGGGCAGGGAGGTGTGTGGTGGGCCAGTACTTAAGTCCTGGGGAAGGCTCGCTAGGAAGGATGGGGGTGCAGAGTCATTGCCTTCCTAACCTGCCTTCAGGGCTGCCTGGGATTTCTGGGTGGAGGCTGGAGGCCGCCTTTCCCATGTGACACGCCAGGGCTCATTCCACCCCCTGTCCCTTGTCTTGCTGCATGAAACCCATGCTGAGGGCCTCAGCACATGCCCACCCGGCCTGGCCTCCCTCCCGCTACCCCTTTCCTCACTGACCGCTGTCAGTGTTCAGAAGGCTGAGGCCTTGACTAGGTGGCAGCAACCTGTAGCTGTTTCAGTTGTGTCATGGTCAGTTGTGCATGTGGCTGAGGAATGGGTGGGATGAGCATTTGAGCCCATGTGAGAATCGGCTCCCATCATAGAACAGACTTCTGGGGCTCCAAGTGGGTCTGACCCACACCCCCACAGGAAGCAGATTGGGAGCCACGTCATGGGCTTGTCCAGACACAGCCTGTGGCTTTTTCTTGCTTTGTGCATACAGAAGCATCCACACCGCAAACGCATCAGCCTGGCAAGTTACAGGATGTGCATGGAGCTCTCCAGACCTGCCCTGGTAGAGTCTCCAGCATAACCTCATGCTTTATATCACAGGGAGCAAAGTCTTTTCCTCTACCCTGTTATTTTCAGGGGCTAGGGGCTGCAGATTAAACTGCCAAGAGACAAATCAACAGGAGAAAAGGACTTCACAAAAAAAAAACAAAAAAGCCCCTAGACTCTGAGGCTTCTGTAGGTGCCATTTTAAGAAAGGTCCGTACACTGTGAAGTGACTAGATGAAGGAAAAGAGGTTGGGCTTTAGGCCAATCCATTGTGAAGAAGTGACCAGGACATATGGGGGAGACGAATTGGAGGACAGTTGTCACAGGTCTGCCTGAAGTGATGAGAGCTCTCCCCCTGGTCAGGGGCACCTTTCTCATTGGAGCTGCTGCTCTGCTCTAGACAGAAGGAGGAGGACAGTGCTTCTACATCCTGAGTACTGAACTACCTTCAGCTCAAAAGATCCTGCTTGGGACCCGGGGGGGGCGGCATTTGAGGATGCACCACCTGCTCCCCTTATGACTTCGGGGCCTGCTTTGTGTCAGGAGGTGGTGCCCCATGCTAGAGTCATGTCCTTTTTGTTTATGAACCAACAAACTGTTTCTTCCTGCCCCCAGTGGTCCAGAGAGTTCAGTCTATTCACTGCTCACTTGTCCCTAATCTGGGGTCATGGATGAACTGGCCCAGGTGGGGCTGCCCCAGCTGCTGAGCAGGAGGTCTCCACAAGACCACTTGGGAGGTAGCACCACAGGAGAAGGGGGGAGGCAAGGGGAGCTTGCTGGAGGACGAGAGGGATGGGGAGGTGAAGGTGAACTCAGGCCTGTACCAAGGCTGGCATCCAGCTTCTGACCACACTGAGGTGTGACAGTTTCATTCTGACCCATCCTGAGACACAGGAAATCAGATGCAAGGCTTTGCTGCACTAGACGTCTCCTGGTGCTTTGTGGCCTATTCTGACCCATAAATGCTGTTTGTGATCCATGTTGACTGAAAAAATGTTTTGGAGAAACTGAGGCACAGAAAAAGATGTCGTGAGGTAGTGGGCCAAGGGTATTTGAGGTGGGGTCACAAGGGGCCAGGCCTGAGTTTTCTAGAGGAGGCAGCAGCAGCGAGGAGGCCTGGGGACAGGGACCCTGCCCTGGGGATCCAACCCACGAGAGCTGAGCCCAAGCAGGACTACACACTGGATATGTCCTTGGCGCCCTCGGTGCGCTGGCCAGTGTGCTCTGCTCCATTTGAAAGCCAGGCTGAAAGCCACAGAGGGCACCTGGAGTTGGGCAGCTGGGTTTACCCACCCCCTGGACAATTGTAGAATTTCCCGGTGCCTTGTTTCTTTTCTAGAACACAGTGGAGGTGACAGCTAGCTTCAGAGTGGTCAGAGGAGCCCAGGGGTGTGGCCACACAGGCTTGTGGCTGACCAGTGTGTGGGATCAGGTTGAATAAGCAGACCCTCAGAGGAGCCAGGTGAGGGCAACCCTGACCCACACTGTGGTCGACTGGTGATGAGATCCCTCATGTTCCTGGCCCACAATTTGGGAAAAGCAGACTGCAGTCCCACCCTTACCACTCCATCCCTATCAGCTGGTGAAGGTGAAAATACACAAGACGCCAAGGGCCTGGGGAAATGACCTAGGGAAGTTGGTGTCCTGGTCCATGCGGGCTGACATAGTGCCATTGCCTGGCAGCTTGTGAGTGACAGAAGCTCACTGGTCCAGGCTGTGAAGACAGAAGTCTAAGGTCAAGGTGTGGCAGATCTGGTGTCTGGTGACAGCCACTTCCTGGTTCATAAACAATGCCTTCTCTACATCCTCACATGGAGTCCCTTTTATAAGGGTACTGATCCAAGTGTGGTGTTGTGTATCTATCATCCCAGGTACTCAGGAGGGCAAGGTGAGAGAGTCGCCTAAGCACAGAAGGTAGAGGCTGCAGTGAGCTATACTCATGCCATTGCACTCCATCCTGGGTGACAGCAAGAACCTATCTCTAAAAATAATTTTTAAAAAGGAAATAAGTCCATCATGGGGTCCCCACCTCCTAATGCCATCACCTTGTAGCTGAGAGAGATTTCAACCTAAGAATTGGGGGACGCACATTGAGACCACCCATCAGCTTGGCCCAGGCTTGTGAGCCGAAGGCTGAAAGAGGGGGGACTGTCCTGAGGAGAGAAGAGTTTGGCCCGCCTATTGGGACAGTCACTATGACTTGAGCCTGGCTATGTAGAGCAGTCAGGTGAAAGCCCCTGTGGTGGCTTTAGAAAGGTGGGAAGGCCAGGGTTGGGCAATGGGGCTGAGAAGTAGGAAGTTGACCCCATGAGAAAAAGGAAAAATCTTGGTGGGATGGTTGATGGATATGGGGATGGACCAGTGTCAGTCTTGGCAAGAGGGATGCTGCCTCCACAATGAGGATTCCCAGGGAGGTTTTGGTCTGTCCTGTCCTCTCGTAGGAGGACCTTGGGCAAGAGGTCAGGTGGAAAGGGCAGACTTCTGTGGTGGGGATAGCCCATGGGAGGCCCAGGTTGGGCAGTTGTCATGGCTCTGCTGGTCTCTGTCCCCAGGCAAGGCTCGAGAAGTCCCTGGAGCACCTGCGGAAGCAGATGGAGGATGCCCTGCTGTTCCAGGCCCAGGCAGATGAGACCTGTGCCCTGTGGCAGGCAGGTGCCAGGGGGTGGGTGAAGGCCCCAGGGAGGCTGGTCCAGCCAAGGCCAGGCCTATGTGGACAGAGAGGGGCTAGTCCTTCCTGTATGTGCCTGTCCTGCTCAGCCTCAGGCGTCTAAAACTCGGGCCAAGGAGTGAGGGAATTCTGTGGGGGTTTCTATAGCCCCAGTGCCCATCCTGGTGTCTCAGGATGTTTGGGTGGCAGCCCAGGGGTGGATGTAGGGATTGTGTAGCTCTGGGTTGTGGATTTGGAGTCTGGACGGTCGGAGGGACGGTCAGAGGGATGAATTTAAAGGTTAGGAGAAACTGGGTGGTAAGTTTTGGCTGGGCTTGCCACGGGAGATGACGCCCACCAGCCTCTGGAGACGGAGACATGTCAGCCGTCACCCGGCCAACCCCAGGGGTGGAAGTGGGGAGGGAGTGGGTGGGGACTGTGGAGTCCAGCCAGCCCCAGGGGTGGATGTGGAGGTGGGGAGGACCCGGATCTAGGATTCGGTCCGCCAGCACGCCCTGTCCCTGCAGAAGATGGTGGAAAGCCAACGGCAGAATGTGCGGGGTGAGTTCGAGCGCTTGCGCCGCCTGCTGGCGGAAGAGGAGCGACGGCTGCTGCGGAGGCTGGAGGAGGAAGAACTGGAGGTGCTTCCCCGGCTGCGCGAGGGCGCAGCTCGCCTGGGCCAGCAGAGTGCGCGCCTGGCAGAGCTTATCGCCGAGCTGGAGGGCCGCTGCCAGCTGCCCGCGCTGGGACTGCTGCAGGTGAGTGGGCACAGGGCTAGGGAGAAACGGGAAGCCGGGAGCGGGCTGTGAGGCTCAGATGCCTGTGGCTGGACCCAGGTGCTAGGACAGGGCCCAGCTGCTTCACCGCCCCAGACCCACGGCCAAGAAAGGAAAGTTGGTCTTCTAGCATAGACCCCAGGAGATGGCAATTCTTTGTTTTTAATTTTTTTGTTTTGTAGCGACGGTCTTGCTCTGTCGCCCAGGCTGTAGTGTGGTAGCACAATCAAGGCTCACTACAGTCTTGATCTGGGCTCAAGTGACCCTTCCCACACCTGGCTAATCTATTTTTTTGGAGAGGAACGGTCTTGCATTGTTGCCCAGGCTGGTCTCAAACTCCTGAGCTCAAGCCATCCTCCCACCTCAGCATTCCAGAGTGCTGGTTGGAGTCTGTAAGTGCTTCTGTAAGGTCCCCTTGTTCATGGTCCCATTGTCTGGGCTTCCCAGGGCTGCTGCTCCCTGTCCACGCAGCAAGAGAGTGGACGTGTGCCCAGCCTTGGGGGATGGACATACAGGTGTTTGGCTCTGGGAATACCTGCTGCGCCCCCCTCCTGACTGCCTCTGGCTCACTTGTCCTTGCCTGGACCGCTGCAAGGTTTACTATAGGACTCTCACCCAGCCCCTTCTATCCCCACAGGAAGTCCTCACTCTTCATCCTGTCTTGCCCTCAGGCACTCTGAGCATCTGTCATGAGGTGCTCTCAGCTTCTTCTCCTCTACCTCCTGGGAAAGTGGTTCCCTAAGTGTGGGCTTCAGTCCCCCAGAGCTGACTCTTCTCTGGTGCCCAGAACGAGAGCCTGCAGGCAGGATGCCCCAGCCCTCTGACCTAGGGGCAGGTCAGGTGACCCTGAAGAGGATAGCATCTGGCTCTGGAGTCAGCCTGCCCTGCTGTGGGCTCCGTGTTTCAGTCTCCTCACTTGTCCAGAGGGTATTGACGAGGCCTGAAGGGATTACTGTGCTGAGAAGCTTCGTGTGGGCAGGGGGTACCCGCTGTCATCTTTCCTCAGAGTTCGGTTAGACTTCTTGTCCCACAGTTCCCGAGGGAACTGTTCAGTGCCTGTCACTTTATGGACACAGGGTGTAAATGGACACAAGCCCCCCAGCGGCTATGGCTCTCATGCAGGAGGGAGGCCATCTATGACCAAACGAGACCACCGCTGGGATGGGAGTGCCAGGCCAGGACAGCCAGCAGCTTCAAGTATGGCTGGACTTCCCACTGGAGGTAACAGCCACCAGCCTCCGGAGCCAGGAGACATGTCAGCAGATTTCTGGTGCTGTCCTGGGACTGGGCTTCCCTTTTTGGCCATCAGCAATTGTTTTTGGTTTACATCGTAAGCTCTTTTCGTTGTTAATTACTATTACTTATATAGATTTAGGGGGTGCAAGTGCAGTGGTGATGGCTGGGCTTCCCGTATAGCCATCACTTGGCCATGCACGGGTGCCCAATAGGTGACTGCTCATTCTTCTCTCGCCTCTCCCAAGTCACTCTCTGTCCCTGTGATGTGCTGTCAGTCTCTTACATGCACATCAACCAGTTTTGAGCCTGGGAAACACGAAGGACACTCGGCAAGCGACTGGAGGAAGGATGAGGTTGTGGAGGGGTTCCCTATGGTCAATGTGGGGGGGTGTCCTGGAGACCGAAGAGGAGTCCTCAGAGAGGGTGGTGTTGAGAGCTAGGAAGGCTCCAGAAAGGGAAAGACTGACCTGGAAATGGGCCCCATAGAGTCTGCATGCAGACGTGATATCAGGTCTTGGCTGAGACATGCATGTGGGTGGGAGGGTGGACAATCTCAGAGGTCCTGCCTGCATTTCGGCCCTAGGTGGCCTGCCTGTTGCCCCCACCTGCCCCTGCCTCTGCCAGTCTCCCCAGTCTCACCTGCCTCTGCCAGTGCTAGGCTCGGCTGGAGGCTGCAGGAGTGCCCAGAGCTGCCTTGCCTGCGCCGTGGGGTGGGTTTGCCCACATGGTACGCAGGAGAGCAGCCCACGGGCCTGTGCCCACAGCCACATTCTGAGGTCCTGGGGGGTTCAGGCTTCAACAGGTGGATTTGGGGAGATGGGAGCACAATTTGGCATGGAACACTAAGACTGTCCTCATCAGGCAGTGAGGCCTGAGAAGGAGGATGGCCAGGTGGAAGACTGACTAGGGGGCAGCAAGGCCGGGTTCCTGTGGAAGTAGAGCACCCTCACACAGCACTGCCCCTCTCTGGAGGCCAGGGCGCGCACCTGGCCTGTCTTTGGCACTGGGATGCCCAGGCTCTGGATGAGTGAGCTGGCGACCCAATGCCCTGTGTCTTCCATGCTTAAGAAAGTAGAGTTTGGTCTGCAGGACTGGGCTGCGGTCAGTCAAGTGTCTCTGGGCACATGTGCCATAAGCCTGTCAGCATTCTGTGTCTGACTGCACTGCACCTGTGTGTATGTTTGCTGCCTGAGGCTCAAAGAGCCAGGAGGGGTGCGGGGAGGGGCCCCAGGACCCAGTGACTGGCCTTGACACTGAGCATGTTGTTTCTTTCCTCACCACAGGACATCAAGGATGCCCTGCGCAGGTATGAGTCCTTGGCCTCTCCCAGGGCAGGCTGGGTATGGGGTCCTGGCAGACAGCTGTGGGGGTGACACCTGGGCTGTCCCCTCCAGGGTTCAGGATGTGAAGCTGCAGCCACCGGAAGTGGTACCCATGGAGCTGAGGACTGTGTGCAGGGTCCCGGGGCTGGTGGAGACCCTACGGAAGTTTCGAGGTGGGTGTGGAGGCCCCAGGTAGGGGGAACGCCCTGGAGAGGCCCTACAGAGTTGGACGGTGGCCACTGGAAGTATCCCCTGCTCATGCTCCTGACATCCTTCAGGGGGTGTCTCCACACCAAGCGTTCTCCAGCTGACAGCTCCATTCAGTTTTGGCGCCAACTATTGAGAGTTAGTGCAGATCCCATAGATTAAGGGCTCCATCCACAGGATGCTCCCTGCAGAGGCCAGTCAGGTGCTCTGTCTCACCAGCTATAAGTGGAATTCCCACAGGCCTTCCCTCAGACCTGATCGTTGCTGGGATGGCTCAACTCAGGAAGGCACTCTCCATACTGTTCCTGCTATTATTGCAAAGGATACAACTCGGAACAGCCATGTGGAGGGACACACCTGACTGTGTGGGGGAGGGGAGGGGCATCCTGCCCTCTCAGGGTACAGTCCTTCACATGCACACCAGCCCGGGAAGTCCCCAAGCCCTGGAGGTGTGGGGTTATGGAGGCACTGTACACAGCATGGCTGATTAAAGCTGGGTATGAGAGACTGGGTTCACCTTGGCCCTCTTCCCTCTGAGGTTCCCTCCCTCTGATCACGTGGTTCTCCTGGAGACCGGCTATGCTGGGCTGTCGAGGGTCGCCACAGTCACCTCAGCAGCTCCTTATGGAGAACACAAGACTCTCCCATCACCCAGAAAGTCCCGAGGGTTTAGGAGCCCCATGCAGGTCCCTTCACCCCTCCTGGTTCTTCCTTCTGGTTTCCTGGTGTTTTGGCCCCTCGGAGGACCCAGGAAGAGTGAGTGTGTCCTTGGAGCACTAGGAAGAATTTGTAGTGCCTTTCTGATGTGCGTGGGAAACTCAAATCTCAGCTTTGTGCCAGGAACTGAGGACAAAGGCCAGATTCATTTCCACATCAAGGTCATCCAAAGGACGTGCCTCTATGGCTCTTGCCAGCATCTCCAGAGCCTGTGTGTCAGACCTGCTTGCAGGCCCCCAGGGGCAGGTGGACCAGAAGCCTGGGAGTGGCCATGGCTGGGTCAGTCATTATTTCCCACTCCTGAGAGAGAGAGTCTCTGTGTTGCTCTGGGAGCAGCTGGACCTAGTAAAGCCCAGGGTGGAATGTGGGTCAGAACTCAGATTCCATCTTGGGATTGAAGGAAAGAGCAGCATGTGGCAGTACATGCCTGTATTCCCCAGCACTTTGTGAGGCCAAGGCAGGAGGATTGCTTGAAGCCAGGTGTTCAGGCTGCCGTGAGCTGTGATTGTCCATTACATCCCAGTTTGGGCAGCAGAGTGAGACCCTGACTCAAGAAAAAGAGCAAAAGTGGAAAGAACCAGGTTTCCTCCTGACATCAGAAGGTGTACTGTGGCCTAATTTATAGGATGTTGTGAGTTGCCACTAGAATGGTTAAGTGTTTTTTTCCAGTTGGGGGTAAGTGGTCCACTTGGGGCCAGACAGTCATGAGGGGGGACGAGCCTCGAACAGGTGTCTGTGCAGGCCCTGGGGCATTCTGCAGTTGGCCCAAGCATGGCTGCTGTGCCTGGGTGACCCCAGACCTCTCTCCACAGGAGATGTGACCCTGGACCCAGACACTGCCAACCCGGAGCTGGTCTTATCCGAGGACAGGAGAAGCGTGCAGCGGGGGGACCTGCGGCGGGCCCTACCCGACAGCCCAGAGCGCTTTGACCCTGGTCCCTGCGTGCTGGGCCAGGAACGCTTCACCTCAGGCCGCCACTACTGGGAGGTAGAGGTTGGGGGCCGCAGCAGCTGGGCCCTGGGCGTGTGTAGAGATGACGTCAACCGCAAGGAGAAGGGCGAGCTGTCTGCTGGCAATGGCTTCTGGATCCTGGTCTTCCTGGGGAGCTACTATACCTCACCTGAACGCGCCTTCACCCCGCTCCGGGACCCTCCAAGGCGTGTAGGCATCTTCCTGGACTATGAGGCGGGACACCTCTCATTCTACAGTGCCACCGACGGGTCATTGCTATTCACCTTCCCTGAAACCCCCTTCTCTGGGACGCTCCGGCCCCTCTTCTCACCCCTGTCCAGCAGCCCCACCCCTATGACCATCTGCCGGCCAAAGGGCGGGCCTGGGGATTCCCTGACCCCCCAGTGACTCAGGCATTTCTGGAAGGGTCCCTTTGCCCCTCCCAGCCCCTCTTCCTGACTTCTGGGCATTTTGTCCCTCAGAGGATCCAGGAGGAGGGAGCGTGTCCTTGGAACGCCAGCAGGAATGCACAGTGCCTTTCTCAGTGTGTATGGGAAAACCCAAATCCCAGCGCTCCAGGAAACTTCATGGTGGGTGTGGTAGGCTCTGTCCTCCCTGGGGCCCTCCAGGCCATCAGAGGCCACTTAGTGCCCATGGTCACAGCTCTGGCTGCTATTTTCAGAAACTCTGCAAGCCCAGCCATGATAATGCAGAATCCAGGGCCTGGCCAGGCACATGAAAGTCATCCGGACCCCACTTCCTTGAAGATGCTGAGGGAGGCAGCTCCACACTCGATAGTTCCATCAAACAGGAGGACAAGGAAGAGCTGGTCACCAGATGTGACTACTTCATTCAGGAGGTGCATTTGGAGGCCTAAAGAAGAGATGGGCTGGGGGAGCCATGGGGGAAGGGACTGGTGGGCGTGGTCTCTGAGAAGTGCCCATTGGCAGTGGGGTCCCAGATGAGGGAAGAGCCAGGAAGTGATACCTGCAGGCTCTCTGTTGTGTCCTGGAGCCTTTCTGAGCATGTCACCAGCTGGCTCTGCCCTTGTAAAGGCTTCCTCAGGGCTTGTGTACGCCACCAGCCACCTGCCTTGCTTTCCCCACCTGGGGAAGAGCACTGACTGCCTTGAGCCAGAAGTGTGGGAACCCTGGAGCTGGATTTGTGTTCATTTGGGGGTTTCTTTGCCTCCAGAAGGTACTGATCTTTCCACCCCTCCATTTTATTTATTGTAAGGACAATGTCCCCACATTCAATAAACTTTACCTGTGGTCTGTCAGCCTGCTGGCCTCTACTTAGCTCAGCCACAGAGGGTGGATTCTAGATGTGCAGGAGTGGGGAGGGGTGGCAGGGCAGGGGTTGTAGACAATCGCCTCCTACCCAAGGCACTGAGGATCACAAATGGGGTCTTCGTTTTCTTTGCTCAAGTGTGTATTCATGATGTGTAGCTACTAAATGAATCCTTTTTCAGATAACCTGGTTAATATTTCCTACATTGTTTGGTATCCAATGAGTACTGTCCCACGTCATTCATTTATTTAGTCATCCTCCTATTCTTGTGCTTTTGGGGGGAGCTGTTTTATGTATAATACCTCATTGAACGAAACAACACTTGGCATTTTGTGAACAAGAAGTCTCAGCCAAGCCCAGGATCTGAGTGTTCCTCTGGCAAGTGAGTAGGGCCATAGCCTGTCCCCAGCATCTGTGCTCAGGGCTCCCCATCCTGTGGAAAACTCCAACTGCTTTGTCTGTGCCTACCCGGAATAAGATGAACTGACCTGTGCTAGGGGCTTTTGAGATGGCCCCAGTTGTGGGCCAGGAGGTCTTGTGGGTGAGACCACAGATGTGTACCCAGCAGCACCAAGGATGTCAGCACAGCCCTGGTCATAACTTTAGAGCAAAGCTGGACACAGAGAAGGAACAGACTTTATGACTCCTGGCTCCAGCACATACTGAATTCCACCCTTACTGGTGCTCTACTGGATCACTGTGGTTCCACTCATGGTTCCAGGCAGTGGGGAGATACAGGAACCCTCAGAACCCTGAACGGGCAGCTGGTTCTCAGAGTGGGTGACAGCAGTGGTCTGGATAGCTGTGTCCTACACCGGCAGTGGAGCAGCCCCTTGTATTGCTCACAACAGATTGAACACTAGGTCCCCCCAGATTCGTTTGTTGAAAACTCCTTACCCCCAATGTGGTGGTAGGAGGTGGGGTTTGGCGGATATAATTTGGTCGTGAAAGCAGCACCCTCATGGATGGGATTAGGCCCTTAGAAATGGGACCCCAGAGAGCTTTCCCTCAGCCCCCATGAAGTGGGAAGCCAGCTGCCTGCAGTCCAGAACAGGATCCTCACCAGATCTGGCCTTGTAACTCCTTAAACTCAGACTTCCAACTGTGAGACATACGTTCTGTGGTTTATAAGCCACCCGTCCATGGGTCTTAGTTGCAGCAGCTGGAGCAAACTAAGATACTCAGGAGCCTCTGCAGGCGCTGTGGATGCAGTGACACAGATGGAGTCCTCAGCAGGGAGAGTGGGAGCTGCAGGTGGAGCCGCCCCTCCAGGGTTTCCACAATCACCCTGGAGACCCACTGAGTGCTTACCATGCCCAGAAGCCCCGCCCCAGGAGTTCAGCAGTCTAGCGAGGGTGCAGGGAGCAAACAAACAGGCATGGTAGCTCATGCCTGTCATCCCAGCACTTTGGGAGGCCAAGGCAGGAGGATCACTTGAGCCCAGAAGTTCAAGACCAGCCTGGGCATGACTCATCTCTACACAAATAAAAAAATTAGCTGGGTGTGGTGGTGCACACCTGTAGTGTTAGCTACTCAAGATACTGAAGCAGGAGGATCCCTTGAGCCTAGCCTGGACAATAGAGCCAGACCCTGTGTCTGAAAAAGAAAAAGAAAAAAGCAAGCAAATAACTATAAGGAAGTACTTTCTGGGTTGTGACACAGCTGAAGAGAAGCTACACAGTGGCACACAGAGTTCCAAAAGGAGAATACAGATACCGTAGGTTTGGTTAATAGTAAGGACAGCCCTCCTGGAGCAGGTAGGCATCAAACTAGCATCCCTTTCTGCTGCCCTGCACTGGGGTCTGCACACTGTACCACAGCACCCTTGGGCATGGCCCAGAGACAGGGCCATTGTCAGCTATGTCCTCCATGTCACACACATGTACCACATGGAGTGCTACCAGCAAGTATAGATGCAGACCCACTCCACACCTGGACAGCAGGTCAGGCATGCCCAGTCACCTGCCTCAGAGCTGGATCTGTGAACAACTGCATGAAGTGCACTTTTCAAACTGTCACCTAAGTGCTTCAGTGACTTAAACTCCCAGGCCAAGCAAGGCGCCCACGCTCCTGGAGCTGGGAAGGGACATGAGGACAGCCTGGCCTGTGGAGGCCCCCTGCACGACATCCTTACCACTCACCCCTATACCAGCTCAGCTGTGACAGAATCCCAGCTTCTGATAAATGATCTGTTGTTAATGTCCCAGTGCAGATTGTGGGACACTTTAAGTTTCTTTTCTTTTGGGGCTCCCTCTGTACAATGACCCTTAAACTAGAATTAAGCACATATACATTGCTCTAATTGTGAACTTGCTTGAGAAATTTCAGAGGCTAATCTTGGAACAAACTGCACCTGGAGCCTCATTGTTCAGAAGTCACGGAGCACTTGGAGACCCCCTGGCACAACCCAAGTCACCCCAAAGTGTTAATCCATAACTTGACCATGACAGATGACTATGGACAGCTCTCCAGGCGGACAGCAGTTCAGGATGATCATCGAAGTAAGATGCTAGCCCTGTGTCCTGCTACCCCAAATACTCTCATTCCATCTTCTTCCTATACAATTCCCTATCCTGTGCCCAAGATTTGGAAATGTTTTTTTTTGTTGTTGTTGTTGTTTGGAAGCATGAGTTCGGCCATTTTCCCATTTGCTGGCTTTTGGAAATAAACATCTTTCCTTCCACCAACTCTCCTTTCTCTTGTGTTTGGCTTTGAGAAATAAGCAGCAGTAGTTGTGGTCCCTTACACAGTGACCCCCATGCCCCCATGCCCACCTCATGCCCCCTGTGCCCCCCACATGCCCCCAGCCTGCCTCGTACCTCCACATGCCCTGTGCATGGAATCCCCCCAAAGTCCAGGGCCCACAGAGCTCCCCACCTCGTGTGCCCTGGAACACCCAAGTTCTGGGTGCCTTCTGAGCCCTCAGCACCTCCAGGAGTCCCCAGGCTACCCCCACCAGTGCCCCATAAGCCCAGAGCTCCCACCCTGATGCTCCCCTCCCCACTGCCCATGTCTCATAACAACTGGATTGTGGTGTAATTTTCACATTAGGAAACTCAACTGAACCCTGCATCACCACAATTCAACTTGGAATGTTTTCATCACCCCACAGATCCCTGGGACCTATGTCAGACCTACAAATATAGAGAGTTCCATTAACTATGTTCTGATGTTAAACCTATTGATATTCCTGGGATAAACTCCACTTGGTCCTGGCTGGATCCAGTTTGCTCAAGAGCTTTTACACCTGTGCTTAGGGACCCTGGTCTGTGGGTCTCTCATGTGTCCATGTCTGGCTTTGGTAGGGTACACGACTCCCTGCGAGTTAGAAAGTGCTTTCTTCCACTGTGCTCTGAATGTGAAGGACTCATGGTCCCTGTGTTGTGTTTTGTACAAACTCTATGAAGCCTGAAGCCACTGGTCTTCAGCTTGCCCTTGTCTGAAGTTTGTGTGTGTGTGTGTGTGTGTGTGTGTGTGCGCGCGCGCGCGTTTGGGGGGCGGTTTATGAGTCAAGGTCTCACTCTATCGCCCAGACTGGAGTGCAGTGTCAAGATCACGGCTCACCACAGCCTCAACCTCTTGGGCTCAGGTTATCCTTCCACCTCAGCCTGCCACCACACCTAGCTAATTTTTAAAATTTTTTTGTAGAGACAAAATCTTGCCCAGGCTGGTCTCAAACTCCTGAGCCGAAAAAATCCTCCCACCTCAGCCTCCCAAAGTGCTGGGATTACAGGTATAAGACACCATGCCCAGCCTGCTCTGTTATCTCTCTCTCTATCCCTGTCTCTATCTTGATCTCTATTATCTATCTCTATATCTTTATCTTGTATATTTGTGTCTAGCCATGTCTTCTATCATATCTATCATCTCAGTCTGTCTATTTTTATCTATCTCTGTCTTCTACATCTATATCTATCTGTCTATCTCTCAGCTCAGTTACTCAAAGTACTAGCATTCTTGCATGCATGTGAGCATGGGGACAACTGTGTTGAAGACACATCAACCCTTGACTACAGAATGCAGGATCTCAAGAGAAAGCCCAAACATCTGTACTCTGAATGCTAATTTTTCTAAGGTACCATATGGTAACAATAATTTGCCTAATGTGATAAAATAAAACTTGCAGTTTTATTTAATGTTCCATGTTCTGCAGTAATCTCATCCCCATATGAGCAAAGGAGACTTTAATATGGCCAGAACAAATGATTTTCCCAGCATTGACCAATGAATTCCTAGAGTTGGGGGCATACAGGAGTGTCCTTTGCTGCCAGTCTCCCAGCTCCCTCCTTAGGATGCCTCTTTAACATTGTTAGTTTGGTTTTCCCGTTTAATACAGAAATTATTTAGGACATTTGCTAAAGCTCTCAAGTGGCTAGCCACAACCTGCTGTTTGTTATTTCACTGATATTGTGTTCCTAATGTCATTTCACAATGGCCAGAAAGTGCGGCCTGCACAGTTTCTGCTTTGAGAGGGTTTCAGTCCAGTGGCTAGTTATTTACATGAATGACCTCTAGGTATTTAAAAATATATGCATCCTTCACTTGCTGGTTACAAAATACCACCTCTCTGCCTACCTTCCTTTCTAACACATAAATGTTTCCAGTGATCTTATCAATAGTTCTATAGATGGTTTTTAGGGGGATTCTTTTGGTTTTGTTTTGTTTTTTGAGTTGGAGTCTCACTCTGTTGCACAGGCTGAGTGGCATGGTGGCATGCTCATAGCTGCTGCAGCTTTGACCTTCTGAGTTCAGGCGATCCTTCTGCCTCAGCCTTCCAAGGAGCTGAAACCACAATGGTGGCTAATTTTTTTAATTTTACTGTAGAGACAAGGTTACACAAGTTGCCCAGGTGGTCTTGAACCCCTGGGCTTTTCACCCCCACCTCCCAAAGTGTTGGGATTACAGGCATGAGCCACTTCACCTGGCCTATTTTACATATTGATCTATTGATTTCTAAGCACAGTATATTAAAGTCTCCTACTGTGATTA